ACTTATATATTTTTTTTAATTCACATATATAATAACATATATAATAATAATAGATTGGCGCTTACACATATGTTAGTGTTTTGCCGAACTTCTCATCCGATTTGTGGCGTGCGCCTTGATGTTGTCACACAAAGCGGAAGGACCTACAGGTTTACGCCGACTCCGAACGGCTATTGTATTTTTTTTTTTGAGAAGCTGTTTTTCATGGCAGAAATACACTCGGAGGTTTGCCATTGCCTGCCGAGGGACGACTTCTGTTAAGAAAAAACCTTTTTTCTATATTTTTTGCGATTTTGCTTTGCCCAGGGTTTGAACCCAGGTGCTGCGGAGTGGAAGCGCGCACTGCTTACCACTACACCACAGTGGCCCACGTGACCTTGCACTTCATTATACTAAAATTTAATGGGCTATAAAACTGCATATTCAAAGATAATTCTAAACAAATTAAAAAAAAATTTTAATGTACTGATTTTTTTTACTGAACTTCGGTGTAAAAAAAGCCATAACTCAAATAATTGTAGAGTGCACCCAGTAATACTATACTTAATTATTGCGCAATACTCACCGCTACCATTGCGATTTTTTTAAATTTTTTTGAGATGGCATATTTTCAAAAACTATTATTTTTATCAAAAAATTTGTATGTGAAAAATTTATTTTCATAAAGAAAATATGTGTATGCGTGATTTTTTTTCCAATTTTTTTTTCTCGCCCCGTTCTCGAGATATCTGGAAAACTATTAAATAAATTTAATATTTATGTTTGTTCATCAACCCTAAAAATTTGAAAAAAAAAATCAAACACATGAAGTGTGAACCCCGTCCATTTTGGTATGGAACGCCCCATATATAGATTAACTTTAAGTATACATATACAGCTTTTAGGCACAGGTTTGTATTAGTCTCATACATTTAGGATTCATTTTTTAACTACGATATTAGCGATCGTGAAGTCAGCATGTTGTCCCTTTGGTCACTGTTCGTTTAAAAGTAAAGTCATAAAAATGCAAAAACCGATTTCGATTTCGCGCATTTTAATGATCAACTTGGAGAAGTGCAACATAACAATAACTATTTTGCATGCATTTGTATGCATGTTTGTGGTATGTAAATGTATACTACTGAAAGCAGACCGAATCAGGTCATAAAATGGTTTTATAGATAATGCCATTCAGTTGTGCCCATTGCCACAATCGAATCCCTTACACTACGTGTATACTTATGAATGTGTATCTGCACTGTTGGTAAAGACGGTGTGGTTGTTGTTGCTATTGTCATCTTGTTTTCTTGTCACTTATGCGTGCTGGTTATGTTGTTATTTCTTTTTTTGTCGCACCTTTTTTTTGATATTCCAGACTTGGTTATGTTGGCTGTGCATGTTAGTATATGTATTTACGAGTACATTGGAATTATAAAATCTATTATATTTTAAGACGTCCACCAAAATATTTCGGAAAAAAATTAAGATTTAAGCGAACTGGACCGATTTGAAAATACCCCCAAAGATGGAGATTTTTATGAATAAAAATAGTTTCTTAAAGATGTTTTTTGCAAAAATCCCCTCAAATGTACACAAAAAAATAAAAAAAATAAAATAAAAAATTTTATACGGAATCGTAATGAGATTTTTGATGTTGGTTTTTAACTTTTTCAAAGATTGGTATAAGAAAAGTTTGAATAACTCAAATGAGAAAACGGTTTAAGTGAAAAAAATTAAAATTTACACAAAAATATTAAAAAAAATTTAAAAAAATTTTTATGGAATCGTAATAAGCTTTTTGATGTTGTTTTTAACTTTTTCAAAGAATTTAAATAACTGAACCTAAACTCTTCCGATTTAGACATCTGAGGTATCATTGGAAAGGTATTTTCTAACCCTTTTGTGGGACATTGGGACACGAATGACTTTTTTGCACATAAATAAAAATAGTGGGAAAATACCTTTCTAGCGAGATCCCATAAGTCTAAATCAGAATAGTTTTGAGCCAGTTGTTTAAGTTTTTCGTAATCAATCTTTGAAAAAAGTAAAAAAACAGCAGCCAAAATCTCATTGTTACGATTCCCTTGAAAAGATTTTTAAATATTTTTATGCAGATTTTTAAAACCTAATCTAATAAAAAATTTGTCATCTGAGGGGACTTTTTTCAAAAAGTTCTTTAAGAAACTATTTTTATTCATAAAAAACTCAATTTTTGGAGGTATTTTAAAATCGGTCCCGCTCGCTTAAATCTTAATATTTTTCCGAAATATTTTGGTGGACGTCTTAGAATATAATAGATTTTGTTATCCCGTCGGAAAAACTGTAACTTTTTTGGTGATGTAGTCTAATGTACATACATACATATAATGTCCATAAGACATAATAGATGTCTGCGCACAGCGACAATGTCGCGTTTTTCTACAAAGTTAAGAAAAGAAGATATCACCACGGAAAACTTGTCGTCAAGGCCTTGCTTAAACACTTCATACATTGGTACCAACTGCTAAAGGTACCGGTAGACCAACTCTACAGACATACATATGTATGTATATACTGCGTACATGCATACAAATATATGGCCATACCCATTCCATGTGCATAAAAAGATATGTATATATAACAAATGAGATCATGGGATGTGCAGATAAGCAGATACATTTGTATGTA